ATTGGATCATCTTTAGGGAGTGAAGAGGCAGTAGTGGTGGGGCATGAGGAAACAGCAGTGGGGGACTTCTTAAAATATATGTCCAATTTAGACCGCACAGTGTGCCTTTTCTTTTAATTGTAAATCTCCCTGTAGGAAGCAAGTGCATCTTGGATCAGTCTGTCAACTTTTGCAAAATGCTCAACATTTTGATCCATTTCTTCAAACATCTGCATCCCCTTATTAACATGTACAGTGATCCCTCGGTTAACGAGCGCCTCGGTTAACGAGATTTTGGTTAACGAGTTACCTCCCATAAGATTCTTAACTTCGGTTAACGAGCAATCCCTCGATTAACGTGTTTCTTATGAGCCGACCTCAACAAGTTTTCGCTTGCACTTGGCGGTCAACCAGCTGTAGTATTAGTCCGCTAATACAGTAATCGGTTCTAGGGCTTAAATTCCTTACTATTTTAGCAAATATCATGACATTTATACTACGGTATTCAATAATTTTAAAAGTTTAATATTAAAATTTTTAGTCATTTTAACAATTATTGAACATAATTATAGGTAAAGTCACTAGTTTTATGCGTGCCATCCAGCCTTTTAACATACCAAACAAGCGTTAGTCTCTCTCTGTTTTCAGTGGAGGTAACATCTTGCTTGAGACTCTCTTCAACTTAATGCTTTTTTTCTGTGTTTCCAAGCAAATTATTGGTCATTTTGAAATTTACTTTACATATTGACAATATACTGTATAGCGCAGTGCAGTGTTATTTTAAAGAAAATATTCTTTATTTACAGCTAGTTTAACTAAAAAAAATCACGTGTTGACATTGTTTGAATCCAGCATGGGGCCTAAGAGATCAAGAAAAGCGATTTCAATCCAAACCAAGCAGGAAATTATAAAAAAACATGAAGAAGGAATTAGAACAAATGCGCTATGCAAAGCATATAGCATGTCGACATCAACTGTGTCGACAATTCTTGCACAGAAAGACAAATTTAAAGAAGTGAAAGTGAGAGACAAATCTACCAGAGTTTTTAAAAGTAGATCCCTAATTGCAGAAACTGAGAGGTTACTTCTCATCTGGATTAGGGAAAAACAGATGAAAGGTGATTCAGTTTCTACTGAATTCATTTGTGAAAGAGCCAGGGAGATATACGAACATTTAAAGACAGATCAACCTGGTTCTTCAGGCACAAAATTTGAAGATTTTCGGGCCAGCAAAGGCTGGTTCGAAAAATTTAAGAAAAGAAGCGACATTTTCAGTGTTAGGCATGGTGAAGCTGCTAATGCTGATAAGGAAGGGGCAGCAAAGTTTTTAGTGGAATTTAAAGAACTGATGGAAGAAGAAAATTATCTTCCACAGCAAGTGTTCAATGTGGACGAAACTGGGCTGCTCTGGAAAAAGATGCTCAAAAGAACATTCATCACCAGAGATGAAGCCTCTTTACCTTGGCATAAACCCATGAAAGACCGTCTCACTCTAATACTTGGTGCCAATGCTTCAGGGGATTTCCGACTGAAGCCTATGCTCGTCTACCACTCTGAAAACCCCAGGGTGTTCAAGCAACAGCAAGTGGTAAGAACAAAGCTTGGAGTTTATTGGAAGTCCAACCGTAAGGCATGGGTGACAAGACAGCTCTTTAATGAATGGGCTGTTGAGGTGTTTTGCCCTTGTGTCAAGAGCTACCTAACCACCAATAAACTCCCTTTAAAGGCTCTTATCCTCATGGATAATGCTCCTGGTCATGACCCTGAACTTGCCAGAACTTTGGAGTATCAATTTGACTTTGTGAAAGTGTTGTTTTTGCCTCCAAACACTACATCAATCATACAGCCAATGGACCAGAATGTGATCAGCAACTTCAAGAAGTTGTACATGAAGAAAATGTTTAAGAGGTGTCATCAGGCAACTTCCACTGATCCTGAACTGACACTGAAACGGTTCTGGAAGACACAATTCAACATCCTGGAGGCTGTAAAATTGATTGTGTCATCATGGCAAGAAGTCTCCACTAGATCCCTCAATTCTTCATGGAAAGCACTGTGGCCATCAGTAGTCCATGATTTTGAGGGATTTCAGGATGACACACAGTTGGACCAGGAGATTGTGTCCATTGGTCAGTCATTGGGCCTTGAAGTGGAAGAGGATGATGTCGAAGAGCTTGTGATGTCTCATGAGGAGGAACTTACTCCTGATGACTTGAAGCAACTGGATGAGATGTTAGGGGCTGACAATGGTGAGGAGGAAATTGAAAGTGATGACCATATGTCAACTAAAGAGTTGAATGATGTGATTTACCACTGGGAGAAGTTCAGAGAACTGGCTTCAAAGCACCCAGATGTGGAAAAAACTGAACTAACGTTGTGTCATGTTGAGGACTCAATGGCCTCCTTGAAACATAAGTTAATGGTGAGGAGGAGAGATGCCCCACAGACCACAATTGACACGTTCTTCAATAAAAGGCAGAGGGAACAAGATGCTATCCCTCAGCTTTCCACTTCAAGAAGGAGAGAGGATGATGCTAGCCCTCAGCCTTCCACTTCAAGGAGAGAGGATGTTCATGGTGGAGAAAATTTCAGTCCAGAGGTTCCTGACATTTTCATGGAAGGTGACTCACCTTCCAAGAAGCAGTAAAATGCTTCTCCTCCACCTTCACCTCCTTCTCTTCTCCTTTCTCCTCCTCCACCTCCCACTTCAAATTCACATCAGCATCATCATCCAGGAGCCTTCTACATACACACCTCAAAGTAAGTGTACTTTTCTACCTTTTTTTGTTGAATTAAGGCAATTTTTGGTGAGCTGGAACCAATTACCCAAAAACCCATTGAAACAATGGTTTCGGTTAACGAGCAACCTGCTGGAACGGATTGTGCTCGTTAACCGAGGGACCACTGTATATTTATTTTTTTACATTAATTTTACTACAGCTACAACCAGGGTCTTATTTTCTGTAAACACAAATGAAAACAATGGCGTCCAACTCCTATTGTGTGACCATTTTATTATTCATTTATATTGTATAAGGTGCATTCAGAAACATTATTTAAAGAATATAGTTTGCAATTTTCATTAATTGTATTGTTTTTTGGGGAAAAGAGGGTAAAAAGCCACACAAAAGATATGAAAAGGTCACACTTGGTAACACATCTCATTATTATTGCTTTATTTTAATAGTAATTAATGATTCGCGATAAGACGATTCAGTTTACACTGCAATATTGGAGGACACATTAACGTCGTTATTCGAGGCTTTACTGTACTCCTCATTCAACTTGTGATTTCTCCAAGATATTATTATTTCTCATTTTTATTGACAAAATATAAATTTATAGAAAAAAATAGATTCAGCCCTCTAATGGTGCAAAATAAACAATCAAATATTTCAATTAGGGCACGTTCTCCATGTATTTGAACAACATTACCTTTCACGATTTACTCCATTTTCTACGTGGTGGTACAGAGTATACCCGTACCCCGTCCTGGGTGGATTGCACATGTAAATATACCTGCCCTTTAAGGAACGAATACACTAAAAAAAAAAAAAATCCTAAATATTCCTTGCTGAAATGGGGGGTGCATCTTATATACCCATGAGTCTTGTATGCCATAAAATATGGTTCTGTACTCAACATACCCAACAAGGAAAATGATGCAGTAATGAATGAACGGTAATCAGTTCTCGAGGTAAGTACTAGTCTATTCCTAGGGCCTTAAAGACAGCCAACTTATACGTCTGCCCTGCTTACTAATCAATAATTCACACTTGTATACTGTACTTGCAAGGGCAGATCCAGGAATATAAAAAGGGAGTGTCCAAGAAGTTGTGGGGGGGGGAGACTGTAAACACCCCTATCTTTTTTTTTTGTATATGACCAATGTCATGGGCATTTTGAGTCCATTTTGTAAGCCATGTGTACTTGATATTATGAGATACTCTGAGGTTAATAGTACAGTAAAACCTTGCTAAGGCGAACTAATTATGGGTGGGGGGGTTGTCCGGGATAAGAGGTTGTTTGCCTTGGAGCAAATTTGTCAAAAAAGACTGCCAATTTAAACAAAAAACGAGTATAACATCAATGTATCCAATTTTTATGAAAGAAATACATGTTTTTTAGTAAAAATTAATTAAAACATAGAAATGCATACAAAGCACTGTACACCTACCCCAAAATGGAAGGCAGATCCAGCTGGACATGCTTCTGCCTGCCATTGGTTTGCAGTCACTCTGAGTCTGAGTCAGAAATGAGGATGGGAAGAGGAACCTCCTCAGCCAGGGAGGTTGACCAAGGAGGCACTGCTGGAGGGTCTTGACTTGAAAAAAGTGTCTATCTTTGTTTGAGTGACTTTGCTTCTTTGGTCCTGTATGACAAGTTTCCTCAAATGCCTTAAGTGATCATAATAGGCCCCAATTTTTTTATTTTATAGTCTGATTAGTAAATTCTAGAATGGTGTCCAGGCAGTCCCTAGCTTCTGGCAGCTTTTCATTCACTGATAAGGTGTTAGGCTTAACCTTCTTACCATCCTTACATAAGTCTGATTTTCAACCCAGAGAGTTGTTTCATATTTTTTGTATTGTTGATGTAATATTCTTTTAATACCTTCTTACTATACACTTAAAGACTTTAGTTGTTGAAGTGCAGTAATAACATAACAACAACTGATTTTCTTTAAACGGTTCAGATAAGCAGTGTTATCTTCACCCCCCATTATTCGCTTTTTTCGAACTTTCGCATTTTTCGGACTGGGATCTGCCCCAATTAGTTCAATTTATCGAGGTTCTACTACAGTCCAAACCAGTGCTTGTGTCAATACAGTTGAACTTAAATGTCATTATTACCACTCACACATTTATTTGATGGCTATCAAAGCATCATTTAGTGAAGTGAGAACAATGTGTCAGGTCATGCCTTCATCACTCCTTATGCATGAACTGAGACTTCTTAAGCTCTGTCCATTCTTTTGATATTAGCATAGAAAGATTATTTTTAACTTGTTTTTTCTTTTCCAGGATTATTTGATATTCGTATGATAGAACAAACTGCTGCTCAAATATTTGCTGCCAAGCCCTTGGTAGGGCAATATGGGAACTACTCCTTGATCGTACAGGCACAAGACAGAGGATTTCCACCTAATTCTGTTATGTCACAGATCAATGTATGTGTGTCAGATTTTAATGACCATGCCCCTCAGTTTGTGTCACCATCAGTAAATCTGACAATAAGAGTACCAGAGGTTAGTTTCTCTTTTTATTTTGAGGGATTTGATTATACATTACTTAGTTTTCATCAAGAATAATTCTACACAAGTGTACAGCACAGTATTATGTCATAAGACCAAACTTGGGATTCTCCATTAATTCTCTTCTGATTAAATTAACATTGAGTAAAAATAATATAAGCTCAGTGGTGAGGCTATTGTTTCCAGCAAAGTATGACAAGTTACACTGTGTTGCTTCAGGATTAGTAGATGTTCAGCTAAGTGCAGTGCACCTACCTAGCAGAATTTCCTTACGGGAAATCACATATTTAAGAGATAAAAGAAAAAATTCACCTTGATAGAATGATTTAGAAAGTGTATAAGCATATACATATTTTAACCTTGTTGCTGTATATTTGGAGCGCAATGGTCAAGTGGATACAGTGCTCTCCTCCTGTTTTAGGGGTTGGTGGATTAACTCCAGGGCACTCCCAGTTCACCCAGCTTTCAATAAGTACCTTAGTTTATAACTTGAAGTGAATGCAGTCTAGTGCAGTACCAGCCATGCTGCCTCCTTGTGTACCAAAGGCTTAGTATACATTGTGCTGTATCCACACAGTCCTAACAGGCAGTCATGACCATGGGAACCACTTTCACTTAATATTTACAGTTTTCTTACATCATATTGGTAAATGACTTATTGCATCCAAGTAAAAAAAAAATATTCGTAAACTTACAGGTACAGACAGTACACAAGGCTCATGCATGGCACTTTGATATTTACAATATTATAACTGAGGGAAGTTGTGTCAGCTGCCTTAGTTATCAGTTTTATTTTGTTTTCAATGTATCAATATGAGCTTTAAACTTGTAATATAATTTGATATCTTGCTCATGATGCCGAACTAAACACAATAACAAATTATGTGGCTGACCTACCAGGTGTCACTATTTTCTGACAAACATTATAAAATTTATAGTTTCCTCAAATTGTGAAAATTTGATCAGTAAATGTTAGGTACTTTCTATATCTTGACTTTTTAAAAACTGTACAATATTTGTGAAGATAACTGAAAATTTTGATATCATTTCAAATCAATCACAGTCAAACACCATCCTGAGACAACTAGAGAAATACCAAGCAATTTACAATGTGCCGTCACAGAGCTTTGAATATTTATACTAAAATAATGTCACTAACCCACCTGATTCGAGTAAAGATTATTCTCCAGAAAGTGGATACAGAATTGGATTGACAGGCTTGTTGCCTTCATCTAGAATATAGGCTCTACTTCTTGATTTGAATTATTTTTATAATAAAATGGATTTTTTTTTGCAAGAATTGCATATTTTCATCATATAAATTCAATTACAATAAGTCTAAGCTACAATATAGTATGCAAACTTGCAATAAATGAGGATTATCTTTAATTCAATTTCTATTTTTCTTGTCCATCCTACGTATTTAATAATTAGTCCAGTAAATAGAAAAACAGTACCTACTGTACTACTGTATTCACTTTGTATATACAGTCAACCCTCACTTTACGTGGTTAATACAACCCACAGGGTACCGCGTAAAGTGAACAACATAACATATGGGATTAATTGAAATAGAGACCGGCTGACCCCCAAACTCCACTTTTTCCGACACAATACCTATGTTCTAGTAAAAATAACATCTTAATTTTATCATGGTACATGCACACAATTAATACTTAAGAGAAATAGAGAAATACAGTCGCCAAGTTAATGTCCATTCAAATAATGGACTCAACTCCGTCCCCCTCTTCTCACACTACACTCCCTGGCTCTTCCCTCTCTGAGAAATTTTTGGGGGAAAACCACTAGATTTTAAGGTATAGTAATAAATAATACCTCAAATTAAAGTTAGGATAATATAATTGACATTGCTGGATTCCTTGTAAGACCAGGAATATTTTGAATATAAATGTCATATATTTTGCACAAAAGATAACATATTTACTCAGAGTAAACAAAATACTTACACTAGATCTAAAATTTGTATGTCTAGTGCAAAATCTATGATGTTTATATTCAAAATGGTCATCAAATTGTAAGAATTCCAGCAATGTAAATTATATTATGGCCGGGTAATTTGTATGAATTTTATGAGCTCAAACAAGTATCTTCAGTTAATAAAAAAAAAAATATTCTTCACAACACTATCTGTCAATCAAAGTACCCCACCTTGCCTCCCCTCCTCTTCCAACCGCGCCAGATGGTCGGTCGGTCCCTCCCTCCCTACCAGATAAATGTTTGGGAGAAACCAGAATATTTACCTTTTTAGTAATAAATAATACCTCAGACTAAAGTTAGGATAATATAATTGACATTGCTGGATTCCTTGCAAGACCAGGAATATTTTGAATATACACTTCATATATTTTGCACAAAAGATAACATATTTGCTCTGAGTAAACAAAATACTTGCATTAGATCTAAAATTTGTATGTCTAATGCAAAATCTATGATGCTTATATTCAAAATGATCATCAAATTGTAAGAATTCCAGCAATGTAAATTATATTCTGGCCGGATAATTTGTATGAATTTTATGAGCTAAATAAAAAAATTATACTTCACCCGCGTAAAGGGGTACACGCACCGCGGAATGTGAGCATCCCGGGTTCCGGCAGGGTACCGTGTAAACGTGGAAATGCGGAATGTGGGACCGGTAAAGTGAGTATGAATTTTATGAGCTAAATAAAAAAATTATACTTCACCCGCGTAAAGGGGTACACGCACCGCGGAATGTGAGCATCCCGGGTTCCGGCAGGGTACCGTGTAAACGTGGAAATGCGGAATGTGGGACCGCGTAAAGTGAGGGTTGACTGTAGTTCTTAACATTTTTTAGTACAAAAATTTCTGTTGTAATATAAGGGACACTGCTCTCTTGTTGATCTGTTATTTCTAACATGCATTTTTTCAACAGAATGCCACTGTAGGGAGTCTGGTGATCCAGGTGCGGGCCACAGATGAAGATATAGGGATAAATGGAGCTGTACGCTATAGAATCTTAAAGGATGGATTGGGTAACTGGCAGACATTTGCCATTGATGAGGACACAGGAGCAATACTCTTACAAAAACAACTTGATCGGGAGAGACAGAAAATTTATGAGGTTAGTGCAAGTATTTCTTACACTTGGCCATTGTTTTTTATTATAGTAAAAACCCATAACTCGGCATATGATAAGTTTGAATTTGCAATAAGTTGGCACAGTATCAGATAACCATTACATTCCTGAGTAATTGACACAAAGTCAGGACGAGCTGAGTCACGCGCAAAAACTCTGCAAGCTGGCTCACTCTTAGCAACCCATGTTTGCCCTGTGAGCATCAGTTTATGTTAGCCTTTAGTCACAGATAGACACTCTGACTGATTAAGTACCTGTGAAATGTTACTGTACAGATAGTGTGAACTGTTATTTATAAAGTGTAGTCTTAAGTTTGTCAGAATAATTATTTACGGTGCCTGTGAAGTGGTGCATACTATACAGTACTGTATACAGCACAGTTAGTCATCCCCTTACATGCTCATCAAGAAATTAACCCTTGCCATTGGTTGGTAAATTTGATTACTCAGCAAGACCTTATCCCCACATGTGTCGAGCTATTGGGGTTTTACTGTAGTATTTGTATATCTTGTATTTATTACTCTTAATTATAGAAGCATATAAATTTTCAAATATTATATCATTACAGCATTTTCCATGAGGTATTCTTAGTAAGTCCGAGATAACTTCTAAATCTACTGTCATCATGGAACATTATATTATTGATTATTTAATTACAGATCCGTGTTGAAGCATATGATCAAGGAGTTCCTACACCACTTTCCAGTGATCTTGACCTGACCATATATGTAAGAAATGTAAATGACTATGAGCCTCAGTTCTTACAGGATGAGGTTACTGTAAATTTTACAGGTGAGGGAAAACAATAATTGTATGTTAGGTACAGTACTGTACAGTGTATTTTATAATTATGATGTTTGTATTTTGTTGAGCTGTGCTTATTGTATGAAAGATAGCCATCATGACTCACTTTAGTTCACTTTAGATACAATTTAATATGCCATCAAATTATAAATCAAATCCTGTACTTTCTGCAATAAATTGAATTATTAATGATAACTGTATAAAGAAGTACAGTATCAACTTGCTTAAGGTAATATTGATAATGAAACTTTATGCAAAGAACAAAAAGTAGTTTGCTATATAGTCTTCATGAATTAAGGATTTAATTATATTAATAATTTAGTTTATTGATGCATGAATTATTTCACAGAACACAAGGCACCAGGTGCAGAAAGGGCAAAACTAATAACAACAGTAGACTTAGATGTAGCTGACGATGATAAAACTGCCCATGTATGTTACTTCATTGTTGGTGGAGATGAATATGGAACTTTCAATCTTGATAGTTTTTCTCATGAAATTATGGTAAGTACAACAAACTAATATTGCCAGGTATATGTGAGCCCTGTATATACAGTAAAACCTCGTTAAGGGGGACCCCGCTAAGGCGGACAATGCTTAAGCCGGACAAAATTATTTTCCTAAAAATAATGCAAAAAATTAAAATTCAAAAATAAAAAAAAAGTTGGACAAAATTTGTCCTCTAATGACATGTCTGCAAAATTTCAAGAGACCAAGGTGTCAGTACGTGGGACACAAGTGCCCGAGAGTTATCAATTGTTGTTTTTGGGAATATTATTTCATTCATAATGTTTCTTATTATGTTATCATAGGTAAATGCATGGTTTATATAATTTGTTTATCACTATGCCCATCACAGTTTTCAAATTAGACTACAGTATTACCCCGCTTTACACGGTTTCACTTTCCGCGATTTCTCATTTACGCGGTACCTTGCCAGAACCAGACTTTCACTTTCCGCGGTGCATCTACTCATATACACGGTGAAGTATAATTTATTTTATTTTTTTATTTAGCTCATAAAATTCATACAAATTACCCGGCCAGAATACAATTTACATTGCTGGAATTCTTACAATATGATGATCATTTTGAATATAAACATAATGGATTTTGCATTAGACATACAGAATATATGAATAATTGAAGTTTACATTCAAAATATTCCCTGACCTGCAAAGAATCCAGAAATGTCAATTATATTATCCTAACTTTAGTCTGAGTTATTATTTATTACTAAAAATGTAAATACAGTATACTATTTTCTCCCAATCGCTTCTCTGGTAGGGAGGGAGGGAGGGAGGCACCGACCCAGCTAGGGCGGAGTATTTTGATTGACAGATAGTGTCCTTGAAGAATATTTCTTTGTTTATTTACTGAAGATATATGTTTTAGCTCATAAAATTCATACAAATTTACCCGGCCAGAATATAATTTACATTGCTGGAATTCTTACAATATGATGATCATTTTGAATATAAACAGCATGGATTTTGCATTAGAAATACAAATTTTAGATCTAAAGTAATAATTTAGTTTACACAAAGCAAATATTTTATCTTTTGTGCAAAATATATGAAGTTTACATTCAAAATATTCCCTGGCCTGCAAGGAATCCAGAAATGTCAATTATATTATCCTAACTTTAGTCTGAGGTATTATTTATTACTAAACGTTAAAATCTAGAGTTTCACCCACACATTTATCTGGTAGGGAGGGAAGGTGGGGGGGAGGGTTGGGACCGACCGACCCAGCTGGCGTGAGTTTGAGGAGGGTGGGAGGCAAGGTGGGATACTTTGATTGACAGATAGTGTCATGAAGATTATTTTTTTTTTTATTAACTGAAGATATTTGTTTTAGCTCATAAAATTCATACAAATTACTCGACCAGAATATAATTTACATTGCTGGAATTCTTACAATATGATGATCATTTTGAATATAAACATCATGGATTTTGCATTAGACATACAAATTTTAGATCTAATGTAATAATTTGGTTTACACAAAGCAAATATTTTATCTTTTGTGCAAAATATATGAAGTTTACATTCAAAATATTCCCTGACCTGCAAGGAATCCAGAAATGTCAATTATATTATCCTAACTTTAGTCTGAGGTATTATTTATTACTAAATGTTAAAATCTAGAGTTTTCACCCAAACATTTATCAGAGAGGTAGGAGCTAGTGAGCTGGGAAGAGGGGGGGGGGGGATTTGAGTCCATTATTTGAATGGACATTAACCTGGCGACTGTATTTCTCTTAAATATTAATTGTGTGAGCATACCATCATAAAATTTAGATGTTATTTTTACTACAACATAGGTATTGTGTCGGAAAAAGTGGAGTTTCGGGGTCGGGCCGGTCTCTATTGGAATTAATCCCATATGTTCTGTTGTTCACTTTACGTGGTTTTCACTTTCCGCGGTACCCTGTGGGTTCAATTGATCGCGTAAATCGGGGTACTACTGTACAAGATATAATATATTTCTCTCATACGTATTTCGATCATACGCCTGGCAACAGGAGCCTGGGAGCGAGTGAGTGTAAATGAAGAAAGTTACGTATATCTACCCGAAAATACGAGTTGAAAAACAACCATAACAACACAGCTTGGCCCAGTAGCCTGGTGATTACAGTGACAAGTTTAACCTGGCTACAATGCCATGATTAATCACTGTTAAACACTATTATGTCCGTAAACACTAATAATAACAGTAAATCCAGTGAAATATGGCAGGGAGGGAGGAGAGATACAACTGCAGACGATGCTTTAACTAGTGGTCACTCGCTGGGCCAAGTGGTGGCGTTATGGCTGTTTTTCAGCTCATATTTTTGGGTAGATATTCATAACTTTCTTCATTGATTTTTACTCAGTTACATGCACATATTGTGAAAAAAAGTAAAAGAAATAATTATCGTAAGGGCAAACACGTAAAGGGAATACAGTATACATTTTTTTGCATACGAGTTAGCTGACTGAGTGAGGGAGAGGCAGACGGTCACAGAGTGTAGAGGGGAGGGCGTTGCTAGTGAATTGGCGTGCCAGCTGATGTTCGTTACTATGGTGAAACAGGGAGTAATATGCAAATGGCGGCTGTGTTGAACTTTCATTTGGCTTTTATTTACTGATTTAGCATTACAGTATTTTTTGGGGGTATTATTTTTATTTATTCCTCACATTTCCTGATACTGTATACAGTACTGTACAGTATAGTCTGGATTAACTCGGTTTTTGTTTACGAGTTTGGTTATTTACGCTGTGCCTTGCCAGAATGAAATGTTTTAATTACGCGGTAAATTTCATCATTTACGTGGGAAGCGGCGTGGGCAGGGTGCACACAAGGTCGCCCAGTCATCAAAACATTATCGAGTTCTTCACCCGCCACCCACCACAGCTGGCCCAAGTCAGTGATAGTGAGGATATAGACTTTGAGGGGTTTGATAAAGAGGCCCTGCAAGCCTCTGTGGTGGATAGTGATACAATTTATACAAGTGATACAGGTTAGGGCCAATAATCCGCCCTCTGCCTCGGAACCAACCCCCCATGCCTGTGTGCCCAGCCATCTTTGCTACTAACGTAAGTGTTAAAACACCTAATATTATTGATATTTCTCTTAAATATTAATTGTGTGTGCATACCATCATAAAATTAAGATGTTATTTTTACTACAACGTACATATTGTGTCGGAAAAAGTGGAGTTTGGGAGTCGGCCTAGTCTCTATTTCAATTAATCCGTGCCTCCATGGGTTCAAATGACCGTGTAAATGCAGACTGTACTGTATATTATTTTAAGAAAACTATGGCTACCAGAGGAAAATACACACAAAAGTTTTTTCCTTAATACTCCCTACCATAAAATACGGTACAGTACTGTATTTTTGTGTGTTTTATGTTATTATTTATCGTTAGTACAGTCACCGTAGGCTGAAATAGCATTCTTATTTTTTGCATTATTATTGAAAAATTAGACAATAACAATGGCCCCTAGGAAAGTGTTTCGTATCCATAAGAGTGATGAGAAGGTTAAGTCAAGACCTTATCAGTGAACTATAAGTAAGTGTACAGTACTTGATGTACACTACTTTTTAAAATTCATTTTGATTGAAAAAGATGTACAGTATTTCTTTCATAAAACTTGCATACATTGGTGTTGTACTCATTTTTTTTTTTAGAATGGCGGTCTTTTGGGAAAAGTTTGCTCTAAGGTGTACAACCTCTTGTCCCGGACACCCCTTCCCCCCAAATAGTCTGCCTTAGCGAGGTTTTAATGTACAGTCTCTCCTCGACTTACGACGGGGTTCCGTCCCGACGACCAGGTTGTAAGTCGATTTGGTCGTAAGTCTTAAAGGCGAAAATAATACATAGAAATTCTAAAATGAAATACAGAACAGTAAAAGTAATCAATAATGAAAAATTAATTAAGTGTTACTGTGCACTTACCTTTAATGTAGTCAGCTTAATGCACACGGGGCCTCAATAATTTTATTAAGCATGGAAACTACATTAATTGTATGAAGCAGAGGAGGAGACAGGGCTGGGTGGGTCATCAAGTTCGCTTTCTTTAGACAGGCTAACATACTTGCTTGTTGAAGGTATTGGATCATCTTTAGGGAGTGAAGAGGCAGCAGTGGTGGGGCTTGAGGAGACAGCAGTGGGGGACTTCTTAAAAAATATGTCCAATTTAGACTGCACAGTTTGCCTTTTCTTTTCAGTGTAAATCTCCCTGTATAGCAAGCAAGTGCATCTTGGATCAGTCTGTCAAAACACTCAACTTTTTTATCCATTTCTTCAAACATTTGCATCCCCTTATTAATAGTAACAAATGCCTCTGCCATTTGTTTCACTGAAAACTTTTTGGGGCATGCAGGTTCTTCTTTTACATTTTGTCTCTCTTCTTCCTCTGTAAATTTCTGTGCCTCCAGTTCAATAAGATCCTCGTTACTTAGCTCTTCCACCAACTGCTCAACATCTTCATTATCAATTTCTAACTCCAGATGTTTACCCATCTGCACTATCTTGTTACTAATCTCAGAAATTACTTCATCTTCATTAAATCCTTTGAAACTGTTCACATATCTTTTCGGGACCTTCTTCCATATTCCATTCATGCACTGACCTGTAACCTCATCCCATGCTGTAGCTATGTTCTTTGTACATTGCAAAATGTTGTAGTCCTTCCAAAACTCTCTGAGCGTTTTCTCACCTTCAGTAGCAGCAACAGCCTAAGCGAAGGTCGTACATAAGTAATGCGCTTTAAAAGTAGCAATAGCACCTTGATCCATTGGTTGAATGATAGAGGTTGTGTTAGGATGCAGGTCGTCCAGGTGTGGTGGGCGTCTCGGAGCATTATCTAAAATTAATAAAATATTGAAGGCAATACTCCTTGGCTCCTGGAATGAAACAACTCAGGAACCAATCCTCAAACAGTGCTAGGGTCATCCATGCTTTCTTATTACTGCCATAAAACATATGCAGTGTGTGCTTGCTGACATTTTTAA